AAGTAACCAATAACAACAACACACACACACACACACACACACACACACACACAAAAAAAAAAAAAAAACTTATTTATACCCATACATTTAATATGGTACCTTAGTTCTAAACCACAAAAACTTGGGTAATTTAAAAATAAGCTTTCTAGGCCAGGAGTACTGGGGCATGCCTTTAATCCCAGCACTTGGAAGGTAGAGGGGGAGGCAGGTGGATCTCTGTAAAATCAAGGCCAGCCTGGTCTACTTAGTGAGTTCCAGGCCAGCTGGGGCTACAGGGAAACCCTGTCTCAACAACAACAACAAAATCAGCTTTCTAACACTTACCATAGTTCATTATAATTTAATTGCAAAAAAATAAGGTGTCCATAATAGACTAGAAAAGAACCAAGGAACTAAGAATACAAGCATGTCTGACAAGTTATAGGTTTTCAAGCTGTACTTTTTAGCTTGTAAGGCATTGCAATATTACTAAAGATATATTTTAATTGTGAAAACAGAGGTTGCAAAAGTGTTCCTGTCACACCCACGTGATCACCTCCATTTTCCCAGCAGACTTCCATTGCCCAAGGAACCACTTTTCTAATCAAGATGGCCCAAGCTTGAGATAAAATTGATGGGTAAATGGGGGCTGGAGAGATGGCTCAGCAGTTAAGAACACTGGCTGTTCTTGCAGAAGACTCAGGTTCAAATCCCAGTACCCACATGGCAGCTAACAACTGTCCATAACTCCAGTGCCAGGGGATCCAACAGCCTTTATCCTCTGCAGGCACTGCACGACACGGGCGCACTTACCTACATGCAGGCAATACACGCATATACATAAAATAATACAATATTTTAAAAAATTGATTTGTAAAATTGATAAGATGGGTCATTTAATTGTTAGCATTTTCTAACATAAGAAGAGCAAGGACTGGATTTTTTAGTCCTTTAACCACAATCTTGAAAATAAACATGAGCTTAGGGTGGGGATTTAGCTCAGTGATAGAGTACTTGCCTAGCAAGTGCAAGACCCTGGATTCAGTCCTCAGCTCCGAAAAAAAATAAATAAATATGAGCTTATGAATAGAACCATTAAAGGAAAAAAATCACCATAAAAATAAACAAGCACAGTGAACTTATAAACCAGTGCTTACAAACACATTATCTGTGCAAGTTAACACAGTTAATCCCTAAAGTGTCTCCTATTGGCAAGTGTGTCAGAGAACAATGAAGATAAGCAAAATTAGAGATTTTTTTTGGAGGGGGGAGGTGTTCAGATAACCTGAAAAGGTTCAGTGATACTCTGACAAATAAGAAAAGTAATGTTTTTTAGAGCTGATAAAATGCAAATAAAAAAATTTTAAGAACAGTATTTCTCAGAGTTTTGCGGAGGCATGAGAACCTCTTCATATTGTACCTGGAGCCCTCATATTGAAACATGGAGAAGCTGTGGTGTGAGGAGGGACTGGGTCCAGAGCCTCCCCTCCTATACACCACAAGCACTCCCAAGGAAGATTCTGCAAACAAACCTCTGGGAAGCACAGCTGTTCCAAAGATACATTAAAAATTATTTTTAGGCTGGAGAAATGACTCAGCAGTTAAAAGCACTTGCTACTCTTGCAGAAGATTGGGCTTGGTTTCCAGGACCTTTATCAGATCAGATGGCTTCCCAATCCCCTATAACTCCAGCTCCAGGAGATCTGATACCCTCTTCTGGCCTCCTCAGGCACTGCACTCATGAGCATATACTTACATGCAGACAGACGTACACACAACAGTTTTTTAATCTTAAAAAAAGGATTTTCAAATGTTAAAAGTTTTTCCTCACTTAAAATTTTGTTGTTTCATTTTGGAGTCAGGATTTTATGCAGCCCAGGCTGACCTCAAACTCTCTCTGTAGCTGGGGATGACTTTCAACTCCTGCTTCCACCTCCCAAGTGCTGGGGTTACAGGTATGAGTCATGACCCCTGGCTTCTTTTTCAATGTTTGACTCATGGCACCACTTATCTGGTGATAAGTGCTCATGAACTCTTGAAAGAGCAAAGATAATTAACTTTAAACTAAAATAAGAAGCTTCATTTTTAAAAATGTATGCAATCTTTTGAGACTATAAAAGATAGTCACACTTTCTACCAATAAATTATTCCATGTTCATACAGATTTAAATACATTCATATTTGAGCATCTTCATGAAGGCACATCATATCTTCTCTGGCATCAAAACTAATCTGAGAATCACAGCTTTGAAATAAAATCATCCCACTGGGTATAATCTCCCATTCTGCCTACTGGGACTCACATCAGGTATCAAAGAAAACACCTAAGTAGGTCGGCCTGTAGAGAGGTCAGTATTGACTAGCAGAGCCACATTCCTTGGCCTACAACACAACTCTACCTAAGGACACCCTTCCTAAGCCAACACCCACCTCTCTTCCCAGCAGGCCCCCTCCTCTCCCCCAGGATCAGCCCTCATTCTAGCCTCCATGGATACCAGGGCTGGAGTTCCATCTTTAATTTCCTCCTAGGAAATGCATTAGAAATGGGCAGAGTTGAAGAGATGTTAGATGCCAATCCCAGCATGCCTACCTCACAAATCCACAGGGACCTCTCAGCTAGTTACAGGCAATGGTAAATGTGTAACAGGCTCTGTGGGGGAAGAGCTGGGATTTAGGGTATCTGCTTGTTTTCAATGGTATTAGTACTCACCGCACCATGACAGATTTCAAGCTCATAGTGGTCAACTAGCTCATAAAATCCTGGAAATACAGCAGTTAACTAGTGGGAGCCAACACAACGGTGAGGAAGACAGGCCAAACCGAAATACAAAAGAAATGCTGTTTATATTAAATTTCAATATATAAAATTGGCAAAAAAAAAAAATCCAAGTACCTCAAAGCCTTCTTTTGAAACTGGAGGCACGGATATTAACTAGCAAACTTTATCTATGACAGTAAGCTGTCCAAGTCAATGAAAGAAAGTTTTCACCCTAAAAACTAGGTCCATGGGACTGAAGGATGGCTCAGAGGTTAAAAGTGTTGGCTGCTCTTCCAGAGGACCTGAGTTTGAGTCCCAACACCCATGTTGGGTGGCTCACAACCACCTGTAACTACAGCTCTAGGGGGACCTCTGGCACCTTCACTCACATGCACATGCACACACACACATACACAATTAAAAAATAATAAAATAAATCTTAAAAAAGTAAATAGGATCCACATATGTAATGTCTAAACTAGGGCTTCGAAGAGTGAAAAGGCATAAACAGTAAGTATATGAAAACAGTAGGAATAAACCAAGCATGTGTTAGTCAAACCAGGACACAACTTCTACTGTGTTTAGATGTGCTAATAGTAACTTCTTAAAAAGGGCTTCTGAAGCAGGTTCATTACATAATAGTAAAAGAAAAGGATATGTTTATTCATATACATATTTACCCAATCTGGCAGGGAACTTACCGAGCACCCCCTTGGCTTCAAAGGGGCCAAACCTGTGTAACAGACTAAACCCAGTGCAGTGACATGAGAACCTACAGGGGTAACCAAGGGTCAGGGCAGGTGTTACAACCTGTAGATGACCAGGGAGCCTGGGGGGACCAGAAGCAAAGGAGCAGAGGAACAAGGTGGGAGAAGACTTAGGGAACAGTGCTGAGTGGAAGAAAGTGGTCCAGGAGGCCAAATGCAGACAGAAAGCTTGTTTGGGGAGCAAGGTGGTTCCAAGGAAGTTTATCTGGAAGACAATATTGAGTCACGGAAGGACTGCTGGACACAGCCCAAGCAAAATAATGGTTTAGGCGAAGTCACTCTGATGACGCAGTGGACTGGAACTAGCTATTAGGCATCTTCAGTCATCCGGGAGCAATAGGAAAAAGGCACAAATCACGATGGGAGAAGGGGGAAAGAAAAAAGTTTGCCCAATTTTCTATAGTTGTGTGCGTGAGTAGAGATTTTAACGATTTTTATATCTTAGTCCAGCACTTTAATCTAATCTTAAGCAATTAGGTTCTTATGCAGAAAACTTAGGATATTAAGTATTGCATTCTTCACATTGAAATAATAACGATCTCTTGACAAACCTGGAAGTGAGTTTACCTGTTACAATCTTGAATGCAGCCGCTGCAATTTCCTTCTTTGAGGTAGCACGCTGCTCTATTCGAATATAAGATACTTAGATCATCTGCACTTGCACTTCCTAAAATCACATTTAATTAAACAGTTAAAGCCCATGAGAAAATCACGGTTCACCAGAACCACAGGACTGCAATCCCTCACTGCTCATCCCGCAGTCCCCGCAGCGGCCTCGCGGGGAAGGCCGGGCACATGCTCCGCATTCCAGGGCACTGCTCGCACAGGTCAAGCCTCTCAGTGCCCTTAGTCACCAGGAAGGCATGCCGGGCCCGGGCCTGAGTCCTGTGGCCCGCGGGCGGCCGGTGCCGGTGCGGCGCTCTCCCTGGGTCCCGGGAGGCGGCGCTCACTTACCTGCAGGCTCCAGCTGCGCGATCGCCGCCGAGTACTGCGCGGCCGCTTCCGCGAACTGCCCGCCGCGGAACAGCTCGTTGCCACGGCTCTTCAGGCCGCCGAGGCCGTCCGCGGCTCGGGGCTCCGCGGCTCGGGGCTCCCCGCCGTCCCGCCCGCTGTCCGAGTGCCCGTTGGCGCCGCCGCCCGCCGTCGATACCGCCCGCGGCCCTCCGCGCTGGTCCGCGCCGGTCCTGTCCGCTCCGGGCTCGGTCTTGCCCCGCCGCGACGCGCCCCTGGCCGGCCGCTTGCCGCCGTCGCTCCGGCCCGTCAGCTTCTTCTGGATGTTGCCCATGGCACGCCGAGAGGCTGCGGGAAAGCGGACACCGGAGCTGAGTGCATCACCCGGCCGACTCCGCGCCCAGCCGGTGCGGGCGCACGGGGCGGGCTCCCAGCAAGCCGCCTCCCCGCGGGTGGAGCCCCGGCGTTGCCGCGCAGGAGTGGGAGTCCTCCCAGCCCGCCCCGACCGGCTTCCCGCGACCGACCGTCTGAAGCCCTGCACCGAGCCAGCCCCGGGTTTAACTCCTTGGGCGCTGACGGGCCAGTGCCTGAAAACTGGCATTTCAAAACCGTTTCCGCACCTGTTCAGGTAGATTTTGCATTCATTCATTCATTCAAATTAAGAGTGAGGGAAGTCACTAGATCTGTGCTCAAGGTTTCCTTACTGGAAACAGGGAGAAAATATTCATTTGAAAGAAAAATAAAGTGATTTTCAAATCATTTCAAAATGAATTTAGCAAAGTTATAAAATAGACACCTAGCGGAGCACGGTGGCACATGCCTTTAATTCCAGCACTGGGAAGGCAGAGGCAGGCCCATCTCTCTGAGACAGAGGTCAGCCAGGTCTGCATATGGACTTCCAGGCCAGCTGGGGCTTTAGGGAAACCCTGTCTCAAAAAAACAAAAAAACAACACACCACCATAAAATACACACCTAGTATTCTAGTACTTAAGCCTAATGGGGCCTTAAAAATAATAAACTTTCCATTCCTTGCCAGGTTGGTGGTTCATATCTATAATTCAAGCACTTGGAGGATATTACAGAAAGAGACCCTGACTCAAAACAGTTTTACATTCAGATGCCTTATTCAAACTTAAAAAATGTATTTAAATTCAAATGCAAGTTTCAGGTATTAATAGTTTGAAGCTGGTTTTAAATATGGAAATGATATGACATAGGTGTCTTACCAATATTTAAAATAAAGTGATCATGCCAAAGCTCTGTTTAAATTTAAAAAACACATGAGCTAGAGAGATAGCTCAGGGGTTAAGCTCACTTGCTGCTCTTGCAGAGGATACAGTTCAATTCCCAGCACCCACATAGTGGCTCACAATCACCTGTAACTCTAGTTCCAGGGTATCTAACATCCTCTTCTGGCCCCAGCATGGACAATATGGTGGCCCATGCCTATAATTGCTTTAGAGGCAGAGGCTGGTGGACTTCTGTGAGTTCCAGGCTAGCCTGGTGTTCTGCATAGCAAGTTACAGGTCAAATCAAGGTTATATAGTGAGACTTTATCTTAACAAACTGAAATACTTAGGTTTCCAAGCATCCTCTTTCAACAATTTCTAATCTAATTTTTTTGGTGGCTATATTTTCCATTCTCTTTCTTGAATGAAAAAGCTAAGATTTGAAGGGCAACAGAGAAAACCACAATTAACTAAGAAAACCAGCAGATGACTGATCACCTTTCACAAGCAATGCCTAAAAAGACTATTAACTGGGATTGGGGATTTAGCTCAGTGGTAGACTAGCACAAGGCCCTGCGCAAGGCCCTGGATTTGTGTTCTGGTCTACTAGGTAAATATACAATGTGAACATGGCATTAATCTGAATATTATAATTTTCTAGTATGTGGAAAGGCACAAAAATAATAACTTATTTTCCTTGCTGATAGGTTAGTCTACTCTCTTCTCTCTAACCCTCAAGTGGAGGCAAAAAAATAAAATTAGATTTGCTGTCTTAACTCTACCATGATGAAATATTTCAGTCCTT